ACAAGAAAGCCTTCACGTCACAGCTCGTAATTGAGACAAGCAGCCATCACATGCTAGAGCTGAAGCAATTCAATTTGACAGAAAACTAATCAGCAACTGTTTTTCATGATTGATTATGGCCAAACCTCTTCTTTTCCCAGTTGCTTAATATTGTGAGCGTTTGATGCTAAATATGTCTCTTGGTTAAGGACTGGTGGTCGGACTAAACAAGGAACTTCGAAAAAGTCCCCATAGGCTTTCAGAAAGGAGACGATATCGACATTTTCTGTCTTCTCCAACACGTAAAGACCAAAGGAAAGTCCAGGTGTTTTTTAATGTTATCCTGTCACATGTCAAAATAATAATTGGTATTTTAAATTACTCAAAGAGTGCTACCATTCAATTCTCAAAGAAAACATGTTTTTTTTCCACTTGCCTTCAGGCTGAACGAAGAATAAAAAAACTGAGTACAATCTTGAAAGAGTTAAAGTAAACGACAACACAATTGTTGCAGTAAAATCCAAGTCTCATTCATGCGGTTGTATGCTCACTATTCTCCGTACACACTTATTTTCATTTAAAAACCTCACTTTTGTCAGCACAGATAGTCTCATACTTGTGCAGGCGCAGGCAAGCCTTGATGAGTTTTAAGAGTATAAAATATTATGTTTGAATGAATGATGTGTTTGGGATGTAGAGAGCATACAACTGGACATAAAAGATACATGAAATACATTTTGCTGGTGTTAAACAAAGACCCTTTTACTTTGATTAACTAAGTTTTCTGCTTTTTTAATTCTTCATTCACCAGGCATGTGAACAAAAACAAAAACATTTTTCCAAGACTTTGAAGGAGTAAATTAATATACAAATGATTCATTCTGGGGGGGATGACATTTCCTTTAAAGCAGGCAGCCAGAGAAAGGAAATGAAAGGCTCGTCCAGGAGAAGTCATGTATGATTTTTGGCAGTAGTGGCCTCTTACACTAAAAGACGGCCCTCATTGTGGCATTTAGCCCTTCATTAGTGACACCGAAGCTGCCATGAGATCTTACTCTGCTGGGAAGGGGGGAACAGAGGGGTGGGAACTGAAGAGGGTTGGAGGTGGGGGATGCTGGGTAATGTACATGCCTGCTGGAGGCAAAGGGGGAGGTTTTAATTACAGGATGCATGCATTTGGTGAAGTGCCGCTCCATAAATCTTGGAATAACCACCCCCCCCCTAAAAACTCCCATCCCCCCATGTTGCTTTATTTGCTCTGTATCACCACCACCCCTCCCTCTGTCCTGATCACACAAACAAATGTTTCCCTAGTGATATGGTGGGAGCGCTGTCACATGGAAACAAGGAAGCTGAAGCTCCAGATGTGGTAACATGGCATGAAAAACATTTCGGAAATAAACTAAATGCAGTGCACTTTTTCCAGTATGGACACCAGCAATCAGTGAGAGGATGATACACAACACTCAATGGACTACTGAAGTCTTAACTATTCATGTAACGTTTGCTCATTTGCAGCCGTAACAGTGTTGACAATGGCAGTGTGTTGATAGTTGTTACTGTTCCCCTGAGACCCGAACGGTCTATCAGCCTAAGTGAAGTGTGAACTGTGTTGACACCCTCACAGTATTCCTCTAACTAATCCATATAGAGAATACACTGTTAACACAGACAAATAGATGGTATTTATTTTTATATTGATTAACATGTGACTTTAAATCTGGCTTTTACCTTCTGTTTATGTCTGATTGATGACAGTATTCTGGATACAGTCCTTCCCTAGTTATACGCATCTCTCTCTACCTTTTTTTAGTTTTGTCCAGGTTTCGGAAAGCAATATGATTTTAGCCAACACAACCCAAAGACAACCGAACATCTGAATAATTAACATGAAATGTACTTGACCTGTACTATTATTTAATTTATCCACTTAATACTTCAAACAGGCCTTTTAAATGTCACTTTATAATGACCTTACTTAATTTAAGTAGTTAACAGTTTGATCAAATCATGCCCGTTTCCTACATTTCACAGAAATTGCAATAAAACTACTAAATGACGCATACATCTGCTCTCATGCACGTTTAGCTGTAGCAACGTTTTTGTAGTAACATTAGCTAGGTAAAGTGAACCCTTGTAGCATCAATCGACAAGTTGGTGGAGTTAAATACTGGAAGTAAAGATGGAAGGAACCAGTTTAATCCTAATATTATTTAATTATCAACAATACATGTGGCTCATGTAAACACAGTCACTGATAATAATGTAAATCCGAATGAAACACTAAAATCCAAAAAAAAATTAAAGAATGTAAGAAAACAACTTGAAAAAAACGGGAGTAATAGTCTTCCCTTTAGAACCAAGGGAAAGGCCAAGGAAATAAACTCTCTAAATTTGGTTTGTCTAGTTGCTGTGAATGTGCACATCACTCTTCAAACAACACATTGACTTTAAAACATGTCAACCTGCGGCTCAACAGAAGCTGGTAATGGAGCAAGCTGCATTATGGAGAGCTATAGTTGTTATAGGTCATCATCAAAGTGGGACACCTGGAGCAGCCAATCAGGAGCCTGTTCAACCGGCTCGACCACAGCCACCCCTTACTATATATTTTCTTTACTCTCAGCTCCATACATATAACCCTTATGTACATTATTACTCACCTGTCGCAATGCACACACGCAGGCAAACCACACACACTTTATCATGTCTATGTGGGTGTTATTATATAGGTTTAATGTCTAGAGAATGTTCACAGGGGCAAGGGCCACTCCAGGATTAAAACTCTGCTATTCAGATAACTACAAAGTTGGCCAAGGCCAACTGGTAATGCCGGGAGCCAGTTAACGCCCCATCACCAAATCTCCTGCTACAAAAGGCCCATTAAAACAGCAGAGCTTACTAGAAGACGTCAATTTGAAATTGTTTATTTGCAGCAGGGTGCTGAAAGTTAATTATACTAAACTCCCTGTTTTTACACACTTCAAAATCTGTAAAGTGACGAGACTTCATATTTGAACAAGTATCAGTGTTGACTGCTCTTTGATAGTTGCCCACCCTGCCTGAGTATGTAGGTCACCCCGTCTGCAGATAAATTATAAACAGGCCAGAAAACAAGTGGTCTTATACTGAAAATAATCAGTAACCAAAGAGAAGCCTGTAGCTTTAGCCATCAGGTGGTGGTAGGTGATACTGTTAAGGGGGGGGTGTGTGTGTGTGTGTGTGTGTGTGTGTGTGTGTGTGTGTGTGTGTGAGAGGGGGGAAGGGTTCACTTCACTGTAGTGTGGCAAGAGGCACTAAAGTGTCACATAGCACACAGAGGCTTTGCAACTGAAAACCTAAACTGAGAGAAGACCAGGGTATCGTCTACATGCTCCTTTTACACCTGACAATCACCTGACACACACACAAACATGTACACACCAACACACTCAGGGTCAAAGTTGACTCATCCTTTAACTTACAGGCCAACCTTCAACGTTATAACTACGCAATAAGATGGCATATGATAACCATAATAATAAGTGTACTCTCAGTCATTTCTCAGGTAAAATGTATTTTCTCAGAGGAGACGTGATGTCAGCGCAGCATGCAGACCCACATAGTGGACTACATGTTCCTCTTTATACAGACTGATTAGATAGAGGGACAAGTAAAGGCTGCTGTTACCAATTTGAATATGTCTACATCCACATAATTCTGCCAAAGCAAACCATAAAACTGCAATTGTACTGTTTGCACTTATCCAATAAATGAGTCATTATCATTATTATTTAATCATTTTTTATACCAAGTGAATTATGCAATTTTGCTGCGAATGCATTTTCTTCTATTCAAATACATTGCAAAAGTCAGATATTATCAAAGGTTTTCACCTCTTTCATTATGCGATTTAAAGTGGAAAGGCCTTTTGTTCAGTTTGAGATCAGTCCTTGAATATCATTATAACATTTTTACAGACAATCTTTTGGATGTACACAGAGCTAACCTTGAGGTGTGATTAATCCTTTGCAGACTGTGTGTTTTATTTACTGGAAGACTATTTCCTGTGGTTGAACGGAGCAGAAACTAGGTTCACATTGGGACTCATTCCCCTTTAACCCAATATTGGAGGACCAGTTTCACAACTTCAATGAGTCGTTCGTTCAGTTTGTTCTCATGAAAGAGATTAGTATGAAGTGTTTTCCACATGTCCTCTTGACTAATTTGAATTAATTAATGCTCTAAGTTATTCAAAGTTGCTGCGTTTTTTACATTTAAGTACGACTTTATCAAAC